AAAAGCTCACTTTCCGTTGTTGTTTCTTATTCAAATGTTTGTCATCATCTCTCCAATACTCATCCTCAGCCTTTTTTAGTGTGATTTCACGCTCTTCTCGCTTCTTTTCGGCTCGTCTTTCTCGAGCCTCCAATGATTTCGGACATGTCCCGAGTTTCTTCGGCATGTAGTGTGTCCTCTAGTCGTTAATGAGCGTAAATTTCGTCGAAAAATCTAATAACACAGTACAGTAATCTGGGAATACAAGAAGAAATGTAACCAATTGTCTTTTATATTTGGTTTATAAGGCAGAAACAATCGGAAGAATATACATTGAAATTAGATCGTGGTTAAATCTAGGTTGAGGTGTCTAAAACACAGAGGCTAACTTACATGTTGTAATAATATAAGTTGACAACAACTAATAATAATGTGAATTTAAGGCCAAAAACTAGACTTGTAAACGGCGCTGTTTCTTTTCTAATGTCCAATCCCTTTTTTGAGTCATTTGTAGCGTGGCGTCGAGTTGAGATTAACTGTGAACACCGCTACCCAGAAACACGTGCCAGACAAATCAGAAGGCGAGGATCGATCGTAACCAGATTTATTTCGTTGGCGATCTCGTGGTATTGAACGAATACCGAGGTCGTGCCAAGGAATGGTACAAGTGAAAGCAGAAACGGGAGTACGTGCGAGCAGTACCAAAAACCGCGGAATAATAATGGAAGGTAATGGAAGCACAAAATGGCTACAATTAGCACAGTTAAACAAAAGCACATTAAAACAAACACTGGTACAGTTGGTTATAATAATAATTGTTTTTATTAAACCAGTCGTGTTCTCGTGATAAACGTGAGTCACTACAGGAGCCCCCCGCTAGAAAGGGTTTACACTTTCGATAAATAGCGGTTTGAATCGTGGGACTGATCGGCTGACGAGCGATTGTAGGACGGAAAGATTGGCGAACAGGAAAGCGATCGTTGATCGTCGAGTTGCCAACGAAGGTCGTTTTCGGAGAACAGTACCAGGGGCGATGTGTTGTATTGATTGCTCGAGTTGGCATGCTGCACCAGAGTGGTTTGTATCCAGAATCTGAAGAGGGCGTTCGTAGAGGTGCGCACCAGAAACGCTGCAGACGTAGGACGAAACCACGTTGAGCCAAAAGACCAGAAGCGACCGTAACGACCAAGTTCGAGACCAAGCGTATGCCAAGCATTCGAAACCAATATATCGACTGAAAACGTTGACAAGAGCATGGGTGGCCAATCCCGCTTTCGCCAAAGTTGACTGAAGTCGACGGAACCAAACGGAGATGGTCGAAGGCGTGGGCTCAGGAAACAAAAAGAAAATGAAAAAAGAAGAGTGTAGCATGCAAGTAGCATAGGAATATTCCTACACCGTATCGGTTGTCGACTGTGCGACTAATCGAGGAAGCGTACGGGTAACCGTACTCGGCGACCGGAACGTGAGACGATAGTCTCGTTCGCGTCGCGTGAGCCTGCAATCTCATCCGAAGTCAAGGGCGGCGTGTTCTGCTGATCTGGACGTGAGACTGTCGTCTCGTCCGTAGACGGTGCAGATGACGCGTGCTGTTGACTGGGACGTGAGAGTGAGGTCTCAGTTGTATCTAGCGTGGGACCTGTAGATGATTTGAGGATCCCGCTAGTAGGTTTACTTGGTCTAGCATTGAATCTCAGGTTATCAGATAGGGCACTGTCATCGACGTGTGCTGGTTTGAGACGATCAATGCTGACGATCTCGACGCGGCCGTGTCGATCAACCTTGAAGGTCTTTTCGTGACGAGCGATCACGCGAAAAGGGCCTTCGTAAGGTTGTTGCAAAGGTTTGCGTACCGAATCTACTCGTATGAAAACATGTGAACAGGTAGATAACTCTCGAGGGAGAGCGACCTGTCGATGTTGTATTCGAGTTGACACCGGAGACAGCGTTCGCATAAATGCAGACAGTCGTTGGACGTAGTCTGATTTAGCGAAATCATGTCTGCTCCGTGGTGTGAAGAATTCCCCGGGCAGACGCAATGTCGTGCCGTATACAAGTTCAGCGGCGGAACATTGGATATCTGCCTTTAAACTCGTTCTGATACCTAAGAGAACGAGCGGTAAGGTTTCGTACCAGTCGTCGTTTTCGTGTGCTCGAAGAGCACTTTTAAGTTGACGGTGAAACCTTTCAACTAAACCGTTTGAAGCTGGATGGTAGGCGGTAGTGCGTATTCTCTCCGTACCAAGCAGCCGAGTAAGTGAGGAGAATAGTGCGGACTCAAATTGTTGTCCTCGGTCAGTCGTGACGGTCGAGGGACAACCATATAGAGCTATCCATCGTTCTACGAAGCGGTGAGCAACTGTCTCCGCCGTGATAGACGTGATGGGTATAGCTTCGGGCCATCTGGTGAAACGGTCGATGCACGTGAGTAAGTGATCATACCCGTGCGATGGTGGCAGTGGTCCTACAATGTCTAAGTGAACGTGATCGAAGCGAGCATCAGGCGTAGCGAATGTACCGAGAGGGCGGCTACGTGCCTGTGCACTTTTGATCGTTGACATTGTAAGCATTGCTTAGCCCACATACGAACATCTTTGTTCATGGACGGCCAGACGTATCGTGCAGCGATGAGGCGTAATGTAGCTGCGATACCTGGGTGAGATAATCCATGCAGGGCATCGAATACGAGACGGCGATAAGCAGAGGGTACGATGGGTCGAGGAAGACCGGTAGACGTATCACATAGAATGGTGCCAGAAGTCGTGGCTAGAGGTACTTCCTGATACTGAAGGGACGTAGAGTGTGGTGCTTTTGAACAACTGGGATCGTTTGCTTGGGCAGCGGCCAAAGCAGGAAGATCAAGCACCGGCAGGGTAACTGCATTCATTTGGATTCGTGATAGAGCATCGGCAACACAGTTCGACTTGCCTTGGATGTGACGAAGATCTGTCGTGAACTGAGAGATATAGTCCAAATGTCTGCACTCTCGTGGTGAGTAGCGGTCAGACTTGGTATGCAAAGCATACGTTAAGGGCTTATGGTCGGTGAATAAAATGAATTGACGTCCTTCTACTGCGTGCCGAAAATGTTTGATGGCGCAGTAGGCTGCTAGCAGCTCGCGACCAAAAGCGCTATATCTCGTCTCCGTGGTAGTAAGGCGTCGTGAGAAGAACTCGAGAGGTTGCCAACTACCGGAGATGTTTTGTTGCATGACTGCTCCTATAGCGACATCGGATGCATCAACCGCTATACTAAGCGTGGCTGATGGATCGTGATGGGCGAGAAGAGTGGCTTGCGCAAGAGCCGTTTTGATTTCAGTGAATGCAGTACGTGCAGAATCGTTCATTTCCAATCTGCGTGGGTTGCCGCGTAGTAAGTCGGTTAGTGGTCGTAACCGTTCTGCCGCGTGTGGGATGAAACGACGGTAGAAGTTAACCAAACCGAGAAAAGCCTTCAGTTCCTTGAGTGAGGACGGCTCGTTGTACTCCTTTATCGCTTGCACTTTGTCCTCACAAGGTAAAATACCCTCTTGCTTGATAACATGACCCAGAAATATGATCTCTCGTTTACCAAACTCGCATTTGTCTGGGTTAACTACTATTCCATTATCCGAAAGGCGTTGGAATAATAGCGTAAGATGTTGATAATGTTCATCTACGTTTGATGATGCGATTAGCAGGTCATCAATATAGACGTGAACAAAATCGAGGTCTCGTACAATGCTATCGATAAACCTTTGAAAAGTTTGAGCAGCATTCCGTAATCCAAATGGCATTCGTAGGAACTCAAACAAACCGAAAGGAGTCGTGATAGCAGTCTTTTCGATATCTTCAAGAGCGACTGGGATCTGATGATATGCTCGTACCAGATCGATCTTAGAAAAGATAGTCGTGCCCTTGAGCGATGCCGTGATGTCGTGTATGTGGGGGATGGGGTAGCTATCAAAGCGCGTAACTACGTTTAGAGCTCGGTAGTCGCCGCATGGTCTCCAACTAACCCCATCTTTTTTGCGCACCATGTGAAGAGGAGAGGCCCATGGACTGTGAGAAGGACGAATAATACCAGTAGCTAGTAAATTGTCAAACTCACGCTTAGCAAACGCTAATTTGTCCGGTGCCAGTCGGCGAGGTCGTGCCGTGACTGGCGGTCCGCGGGTGACTATGTGGTGTACCACACGATTGGTCACCGATGGAAGCTCCTCGAGTGGTTTAGTGAGTACGGGGAATTTCTCGAATAAAGCGTGGAATTTATCGTCACGCGAGTAAAAAGTGCCGAGGATTCGGTACGCGTTCATGTGGGCTTTACAGCCCATGAATTTGCTGTTCGACGAAGTATCGATTAGCTGCAGCCTACGTGAATCGACAAGCAATTCATAGTGCTGTAGAAAATCGATACCTAGTATGGCTGTGGGAACATCAGCAATGATGAACGTCCACAGATACCGTCGTCGGTTGCCCAGGTTGACCGCGAGTTGTCGTGTACCGTAGGTAGGAATGACTGAGCCATTCGCAGCGCGTAGTCGAAGCACTGTGGCTTGTGACTTGCTGCTACCTCGTGGTACGACAGAAACTTGGGCCCCAGTGTCTACTAGGAACCTAGCGTTCGTGCGGTAATCGTGCACATAGAATAGGCGACCAACCTGGGGTGAAGGGCCGGCGAGTACGGCCGCTTTTACTCGCCGGCGCTGGCGTTTCCCGCCTTGTATGAGCATGGTGCTCGACAACGGCGGGCGCCAGACCCGAAGGACCTATGGAACCAGCACCATCTATCACTCGCTTCCGTAGCCGCCTTCCGGCGTGGCTTGGAAGATGCCCTTTTTGGGCGAGTGGTGACGCGTTTGCGAGAACTTGAGCGAGCTCGGGGGACGTAGGGTTGGGGTACGTTACAACGGTCTCGAAAACTAAGACGTGTGTGGATACACCCGTCCCTGTCGCCATGAGCTGAGGAATGACCGGCGTCCAAGTCTACTTTAGGACGTGCCGTTGAAGCAACTACATAGGTATCTTTATTGCTAGTCCTCGCTAAAATTTTATCTGCTATGAGGGCTACCTGGTCAAGCGGTGAGTCCTCGAGCAGTGCCGTCACAGTGGGTTGGATGTGTGCTGGTAGTGACTCTAGCCACAATTCCTTAACTATTTCTGAGTCACTTGCTGTTGGTCCTGCAAGAGATTGCAGGCGCGTGAGGTGGTGGCTCGGTTTAGCATCACCCAGGGGGTGACGTGCTAACAGTGTCCTCAATCGTTCCTCCCTCGATGGGAGGAAATGTCGGAGAATTGCCTCTTTGAGGCGATCATAAACATTAGGTACGTTAGAATTGAGGACAACCTCACGAACAGCTACTAAGTGGTCCCCGGGTAATGACTCGAGAGCGTAGGCGTATTTTTGCCTTTGGCTCGTGATGCGACGAGTCTCGAACTGAGACTCTAACGCAGCAAACCAGACCTCAGGGTCGTGGGGGATAAATGATACAGGTCGAAAATGAATGGCCTGTACGTCTGAGTCTATAGCATTAATAGTATTCTTCTCGCTATCCGTCATGTCGTGTATATTATATATTAAAAATTAATATGAAAATATACGACAGACGTGGATAGATAAATAATAGACTCACCAAATTGGCTTCTTTGGAAGATTTGACCCGAGGTTGAGGCGTGTTCCAAACTTTGGGATCACCAATTGTAGCGTGGCGTCGAGTTGAGATTAACTGTGAACACCGCTACCCAGAAACACGTGCCAGACAAATCAGAAGGCGAGGATCGATCGTAACCAGATTTATTTCGTTGGCGATCTCGTGGTATTGAACGAATACCGAGGTCGTGCCAAGGAATGGTACAAGTGAAAGCAGAAACGGGAGTACGTGCGAGCAGTACCAAAAACCGCGGAATAATAATGGAAGGTAATGGAAGCACAAAATGGCTACAATTAGCACAGTTAAACAAAAGCACATTAAAACAAACACTGGTACAGTTGGTTATAATAATAATTGTTTTTATTAAACCAGTCGTGTTCTCGTGATAAACGTGAGTCACTACACATTTATCGGTAACTGCCAAATATCAAACAATTTGGATAGATTGTAGTGGCACTGGATCCCAACTATGATCTTTAAAATGGAATACGAGACAATTGAGAGAGTAGATATTCGACATTTGACTCGGAGAAAAACCCAACGATTGAGAAGTCGGGAAGAATAAATTCAATTGATTAAAATTCGACTGATTGGATGGCATGGCTTGGGCTTGCAGGTGTGGTCATACTTGTGCAACGTGACCTTTATCCATGTTAAATATATTGTACTCTGTCCAGCCTAAATGAGTTCATCATGTATTGATGATTATTACAATACGATGAGTCAAGGTAGACAAGGATGTGAATTTCACATAAAATGTTAAAGGTTAGGCAGTTACATCACGACAAATCTATAATTTTAGGATTAAGTCTATTACTGGAGCAGTTCTACTATAGAAGTAGACCATAACTCTACAAATTCTCCAAGTAATTTTAAAGCTCTAAACTATCGCATTTACTTCATTTTGCTCTACATATCTTGATATCCTCAGCATATAACAAAACCTATGATGATAAGAGACTAGGAATGTTATTTGCATACAAGAGGACCAGCAATGGCTTTGAGACACTCTGCTAAGCATAGTTTCGCATTTAGACAACTTCGAGTTCATCCATACTCTTTGTTGACACCCAAATAGAAAGTTGTTTGTCCATATTAACAAATTGCCCCCAATCCCAATATTAACTGACTTATATCACAGCCGGTTGTGAAGGATTTCGTCAAGGGTCCTGCTGAAATCAATTAAGGCTACATCTGTCAAGAGCATTTTATATTTAAGAGCGCACTAACTTTCACGGGCTACTCGTGGGTTTGTGAGACATGAGTAACTTGTTCTAAAGCCATGATGCTTTTGAGGAAGAATCTAGTTCTCGTCAAGATACTTGAGCAACTCCTTCTGAATACTCTTTTCCAACATTTTAACAACCACTATGATTAGGCCTACTAGTCGAAAGTTCTCAGGTTTATGTCTCTTGCTTGTTTTAAAGATAGGACTTACTATGGCATTACTCCGGTCTTTTGGTAATCGACCCTGGGTTACAGACAGTCTTAAAAAATAGTCTTAAAAGTTTCGCGACAACATTAGCTAGTTCCTCTAATAACCCAGGATGCAGTTCATCAGGTCCCATGGATTTGCCTATATCAAGCCGATTTAGAAGACCAAAGCCACCGAGTTCCTCAACTATCACAGCGTCCAATATGTGCATGGGGGATATATGAACTGAAAAGGAGGACATTTCTACGATATATACATTGCTAAAGCATTTCAAGATTACCCAAGTTTTACCACAATCATCCTCCACTAGTGTGGATACTCCGGTTCTATTGACCAATCTACTGAGGATCCTGAACGTATAGTATCGTATTTATTTGGTCTTCACTTGTCTGATTTGGCTTGAACTGACATGTGCTTGTTACTGACAACTATATGGAAATAAAAGACCAGAACTGCATGGTCGCTTTTACCTAAGGGTGGCATATAATGGAGGTTTGTGACGTCATCCTTATAATGGGCCAATGTAAGATCTAGTTAGACCTAGTTGCTTTTTTCACATGTTGCACTAGGTAAAATGTAATAATCGTATTAACCAGTTTTAATCCGAAAGAATTTTCCGACCATTCAATCCTCAGATTACTCCAGTCTACCGTATTTGCATTAAAGTCTCCTAAGACTAAAAATCGACCACTTGATGACCAAGTGTTTAAACCGCACAGCAAGACCTCGTTCACTTCATGGCTTAGGATGAGGTGGACCAAACCAATCAGCAGCTCTTGCCCTTTACGGAAACTGACTATTTCGTATGTTCTATTCTCATGAGGTTTGTCATCAATAACAGTAAATAGGATAGTATTTCTAGTAAATAGAACCACTCCTTCTTTTGAGCTTGTGTATTCTATCGGCTTTTACCAATACGAAACTCGAGACAAATTTTCTACTGTCTACAAACCATATCAGTCAATTTTCTGTCACTGTGATTACATCCGGTCAGGTAGAGTCTATCTGCACATCCATCTCCAATCACCTGTTGAGCATGCTCAGAACATTTGTATAACATACCCGAAATCTATTTAAATGACTTCGTTCTGCTTCTAGAGTGACTTTGGCATCATTCTCTGCCAATATCCAAAACATTTGTCACAATCCTTCCTAAACCTACTGACTTCGCGCACGCTTCTCGTTGTTTTTTGGTACGTTTCCAAGTATTGGATAATGTCCAACAGGTAGTAGTCTGGCCACTCAATTGTACTAATCCTAATCAGTTTGGTAATTATTTGTAAATTTGAACAGTTTGCAACTCAAGTGAGTGAGTTTGTCTCAGAGCAGAAGGGTTTCTGGACATCAGAAGCTGTCACATTACCAGGTAGGATTTTGGTTTGTTGCGATTCAAAAATAATAAAGTAACAATGTCAATACTGGTCGTAGACGATTGTTTCAAGAATAAATAAAAAAATTTCGTGTTCGGTAATGTGTTAGAAGATGGAATTGAGGGAACAAAAAGGTAAATGAAGATGATATTAAGACGGATAGGAAGTAACTACTGGTCTGCGTTAGTAATAATGGTAGGTAAACTATGAGACATGCATCATGTGTAGCTGGTCCAAGCTAGAGAATTTAACCCATTGGAACGTCCTTGTTCGTCTCTTGTTATTTCTTCTAGTATATTATGATTTTTCTTTCTTCTGATGTCCACGTCCACAAACTGCAATCAGGGACTATTCTTATAGCTACATCTCTTCTCTACTGATATGGATTTAGCTAAACTAGCTGGTAGATCATTCCTGGCAACAAATGTGAACAAACGGTCTGTCCTGAATGTCTCCATTTTAAACTTTCATTATACAGCAGTTCCCTCCTATATAGCCTTAGTGGCTAAGAGATACACTACTCCATTTAGTAGAAAAATATGAGTATGGTATTTAATATAGACTTCTTCGATCCACACAGCCGGATGGTCACTCTAGAACATAAAATCTGACAGATCATGCGACAGTCAAAGGCATAATATCAATTTACTTATTTAACTGGTGTTTGATCATGTGGTTGATTGGAACTGCCGTATCTGAATCCTTTTAACACGTCTGTGTTTGGTTGCCCGTCTATCTATCTGTTACTCATATTTTATTGTTATACTGATTAACAAATATGTGAAAATAAATCCTCAAGATAAACGGTTCTGTAATTCTCCGACATTCTTGCTGACTCCGGTAATTGTGCTGGGCACACGCTAGCTGAAGACGCTCGATCAAGTGTCCAAACCAGATCGTCGTTGTCTGCACCATGCTACAGTCCCCTTGCGACAACTAGCTAATTGCTCGATAAACTGACTATCGAATATACTTCGTACTCTCTCTTTCCTGACCTCTGGTTTGATTAGGTTCAACATCCTCGATTATAAAAACGTTACGGACAACGGCGCTGTCAAGCTCTGAGTATCAGTGACATTTTTCAATATTTGTGGCATACTGACTCAGTACAACTCCGGTTACATTGTACTTATTTTGACACATCGACGTCTAGATCAGTCTTTTGATACAGTTGCAGGTGATCCTGGTGCCGATCTCTTAATGATGCTTATAAATAAATGCTAGAATGGAAGGGTATTTAAAATGTTTTTGTAACACAGAAAACGCTGAAAACCCCTCCACCGCATTTCATCGGACAGTATTGTTATTTATTTGTTTCTTCCCGTTGCCATGTACCTTAACCCTTATTCAGGTCTCCCGTTAACCACACATTGTGTTCTTCAGTTTTCTTCGTCTGATCTTTTATCATGAGACCCTGACTACAGACTTGACTTTTGCTACCAATTATTTCTGTTGCAGGTTACCGGACTATTGGCAATAAATTCGTGTCTGACTAGCTGAAGATCACGGCACGGTTCAGTATGTGACTTTCAACATTTGACTGTCTGCTTGGCAAGATTGCTGAAATCCCTGCAGATAGGCATCTGTTCCCGTCTTGTTGGGAATATTTTACTGATTCTCAGGTGTTGAACTCTTGTTTATTAACTATTTCTTTTGTTGTTTAGCACGCTGATTTGTGTTAGAGCAACCCTTGACTGTATGGCACAGCTGTACCGTTTAAGGTATTCTCCTTCTTAAATTAGAACCGTTCAAATTGAACACAGAATCTATGTTTTGGTATAATTTAATACGAGAAACTTAGAAACGTTTCGTTTGCTATGCTTAATAACGTAGTGTAGTCTAATCGAATAAGTTCTGATTCGTTAGTTTGTCGTGATATTGGTCCTAAACATACAATCCCCAAAGCTGAACGTGACATAACTGGGAAAATTCATACTTAACAATTAGCATGAACAGAAGGTCAACAATGTGGAAGGCGGGAAGGAGTAATTGAATTCAAAAGGGTGGCAGTCACGTGGAAGTCACATCATTTTTCTACACTGGCTCGTCCTATCGTGATAATCAGAGATGTGACAACTAGCACTTCTGACGAACAAATTCGAGC